AGAGAGAGAGAGAGAGAGAGAGAGAGAGAGAGAGAGAGAGAGAGAGAGAGAGAGAGAGAGAGAGAGAGAGGAGGGATCAATGGCCTGCTACAGCGACATTGCCCAGGACTCAGACTTGACATTTGGACTGAGACAACTGTGGGATTTGCAGGGAGAGTCTTATTATTCGTCATGCACCTTGGGGCGTAGCTCTTGTCGTCCACTCTTTCATCGCCTGTATTTGTCTTTCTCCCACCTCCATCATCCATGATTCTCCTTCCACGCGCATGTGAGCAAGGAGGGATCTTTAAACATCTTTTGTCTATGGTTGTTCCCTCCTTGCGCTTCGTCATGAGTGATGATGTATGCGCGTGCAGAGTCGTGAGTCTGATGAGTCACATTGTAATTCTATCTTCCACTGCTTTACATTGCTGTTTCTTTATTGCATTGTTGTATGTCAATCTCTTTCTTCATGTCAATGATCAGTTGGTCTTGTGCGCTGCCTATCTACTGATAGGCATGCATCAGAGAGGAAGGTTGCAGTCGAAGTGGGTTTTGAAGTTTTGAGTAAAACTCATTTCGTAATCAAAGAGAAGGGAACATGTGTCTCATTATGTCGATTTGTTCATGAACATTTCCATGCACATGTTAATCCTGCAATAGGGCAAATTTGGGACCGAATGGGGACTGGGGGATGAATTGCCTGGAGCTCCCTTTGCTGAAGAAAGGATAGAATGGTAGAATGGAAAAGGGATAACACCAGCAGGGGGGGGGGGGGGGGGGGGGGGGGGGGGGGGCGGACCTGATTCTGTGGGGGGTATTATCTGGCTTACCTAGTGTGATGGTGACAATGAAAGGAACATGAAAGAACATCATTGGATGTCTTGGGACATCTGGACGTATGGTGTGTTTGTAGCCTAGCTTTGAACATTGTAATGTGATGGTGACAGGTCTGGAAAGGGGTATGAAAGAGCATTATTCGGTTGATCGGTGTCATCAATTTGATCTTGGAGTGCCTTTTGACTACAGATATTTAAGGGGAGATTACGTGCCGCGCCCAAGTCATCAGGGCGAACAAGAGGGTCAAGCAGTTGGGGTTGAGTCCTCTGATAATAATGCAGCAAATGGAATGTTGATGGACAGAAAACCAAAGCAAGCAAGTAATGTATTGCAGGGGAAGGGCAGCAGGCAGTCATCAAAGGGCAATGTAAAGGAGGTGCGGGTTGTGAATGAAACTCAAGAGGCTTTACAGAATGCCTTGGAGAGGGCTGTTGCAAGGTGTGTGGAGAGCAGAGACTTGCCTGATGGACTCCAAATCCAAAACCTTAAGATATTGGTCCGGGAACCTATAGCCCGTCTGAAGTCACAGATGAAGAAGGATAAAGTAACAGTGGAGTACACGTGCAATGTGGCGTTTCAAATTGTGGCCATTGCCAAGAATTTGGGGCTTGCTGACCTGGAGAAGATGACATCAGAAAAAGTTGCTGAACTTGTAGTGAAGAGGCTGAAGGAGGAAGTGGTGATGGGAGGAGGGGGAGAAAGGAATCCACCAATCGATGTCTCTGCTACCGAGGCAAACAAGGGTCACATAAATTTTTACAAGCGGATAGAGGCCGAGAAGGAGAAGGATAAGCCATTATGCCAGGATGGCACGTTATCTCGAGGAGGTGTTATTGATTCCACTGTGTCGCAGATAGAGCTGGGAAGGGAAGAATCGCTGGTGTCGGAGAAAAGAGCTTGTCAAGACAACTGCCAGCGAGAAGACAGTGAGTGTCAGTTTATCCGAGGGGTACAGTTCTCATGAAGTCCTCTCTCCAACACACTTTTTCTTTCCTTCTCTATCTCCAACATTGTTTGTGACATTGAAAGGGGTGCTTGTGCAATTCCCTCTGTTGTTTGCATTTGATTGCTTCTGTTAGAAAGCAGCTGGACATGTTTAGAGCCAGCCCTGCTCTCTGTACGCAGGTGTGCAGTCGCCCAGGCGCATTCTGATATGTACAGGAAACACATAATGTTAAGTTATGAGGCAACTGGGCAATCATCCCAAATCAAAAGGATGGTGAGTGCGATTGACAAGCTGTGGCAAATGGCCTTATTGAATACCGTTTAAAAACTTGAAAAACTAAGTTTAATTGAACACTGTTGAAAAACTAAGTTTAATGTCCTTGAATGCCCTTGATAAGCTGCAGTGAATGCTCTTGGATGACCTTGAAAAGCTACAATATATGTGCTTGGAAAGCTATGTCCAGGCCTCTACCTGACATGTTTGAAGGGCCTCTTATGTGTTTTGCAATAATTAATCAGCTTCAGAGGTTGGCGTGTTTTTTGAAGGTCGAAAGGAGCAAACCTGCGAGTTAGTCTGTGATCTAGCGTAGACAGCAAGCAATAGATCTTCGTTCTTAGCCCAGACTCAGCAAGTAATAGATGCACCGGACTCGTTTCTGATGCGGCAGGAGCCACCCTGACCCTTCTTGTAATATAATATATGATAATAATAAATGAAACCACACTCCCTAAAAAGTAGGCCACGTACAAGTACACACCCAGCTGACTTGGCCGAGTGGTACACCGAAGCCTGCTGGATCAGGAACTGGTGAGTTCAATGATGGTACCCTGCCTTTAAATTGGCCAGATCCGTCCTTAGGATTATTGCAGATCTCATCCCCCTTGGATTCAAACTCATAATCTGTGTACTAACAGGATGCATGCAGCGTGTTTACCATTTAGTACTGCATGCATCCTATATAGTACCACACAGCAACCCACATCACACCACAGCCCCACCACAGATGGCACCCTGCTCTCTGACTGCACATGGCCCTCGGTGCATATAGAAATGCCAACTTCACCCTTTTTTCTGCATGCATCCTACATAGTACCACACAGCAACCCACATCACACCACAGCCCCACCACAGATGGCACCCTGCTCTCNACCCTTTTTTCTGCATGCATCCTACATAGTACCACACAGCAACCCACATCACACCACAGCCCCACCACAGATGGCACCCTGCTCTCCAACTGCACATGTCCCTCGGAGCATATAGAAATGCCTAATATTAGTAGAGTATGAGCTTGTCTTTCTTGCATGGACTCGCTAAAGTCGGGCCTTTGGCTTGGCCCACTTCGTGTCCTGAGATTGCCTGGAATTCCACTGGGGAAAACGGGTGCTTGATCCAGTGAAAACCTGCCAAAATAGGTAAGAGAACTCGAAGCAAGTCGAGTTAACGAGCCGTGTAATGGGCAACTATTTCGCACCGTTTGGAGAGCACTTCAGTTTGCAAATCAGATTGAAGTTTTGACGCCTATCCCTTTTGATGATGCCAGAAGTCGTTTTGATATACGATTATCTGGGTTAAGCCGACGCCCGGTCCAGACGGACTGGGGGGGTCCGCCCGGCAAAACCAGACGAGCCAAAAAGCATTCCAGAATTTTTTTTTTTTTTTTTTTGAAGATGGGGTTGGAGTGCGCTCGCTGAGAGGAGCCCAAATCCGCAGAGAAACTTGTGAAAGACATGTGAGGGTGTGTTGCAGCGAATGGTCCATTGCCAGCATGGGGTCTTTGGAGGTCACTGTCGATGCGGGTGTAGTGGAGGTGCTTGCAACTTTTCCTTTCCCTTTGTCTGCTGCCGTTTTGCCTCTCGTCCTTCCAGACCCGCCACTCCCCCCACCAACGCCGCTGCCACCGCCCGCCATAGTGTCGTGGAAGTAGAGGATGCAAGGACCAATAGCGCGGGAAAAAAGAAAGTAAAATAGCAGAAGAAGAAGAAGGAGGAGAAGAAGAAGAAGAAGAAGAAGAAGAAGAAGGAGGAGAAGAAGAAGAAGAAGAAGAAGAAGAAGAAGAAGAAGCAGAAGTCTGTGAGGTTGTGAATGGGGCTGCTGTCTGCCCCCTTACGTCCTTTTTTAGGGGCAGGAAAAAAAAAACGCGTGCAATAGCGGGCAGTAGGATATGGCAGGCGGTACAATATGGCTGGCGGATGTGCGACATGGTGGGCGGTAAGATATGGAGGAGTAAAAAGACGAGGAGGGAGGAAGAGGAGGAGGAGGAGGAGAAAGGAGGAGGAGGAGGAGAGAAGAAGGGAGGGGGAGGAGGAGAGAGATGAGGAGGAGGAGGAGGAGGAGGAGGAGGAGGAGAGAAGAAGATGAAAGGAGGAGGAGGCGGACCTGCCGATTTTGAGTTGCGTTGACGGAAAAA